AAAAAAAAAAAAAAAAAAAAAAAAAAAAAAAAAAAAAAAAAAAAAAAAAAAAAAAAAAAAAAAAAAAAAAAAAAAAAAAAAAAAAAAAAAAAAAAAAAAAAAAAAAAAAAAAAAAAAAAAAAAAAAAAAAAAAAAAAAAAAAAAAAAAAAAAAAAAAAAAAAAAAAAAAAAAAAAAAAAAAAAAAAAAAAAAAAAAAAAAAAAAAAAAAAAAAAAAAAAAAAAAAAAAAAAAAAAAAAAAAAAAAAAAAAAAAAAAAAAAAAAAAAAAAAAAAAAAAAAAAAAAAAAAAAAAAAAAAAAAAAAAAAAAAAAAAAAAAAAAAAAAAAAAAAAAAAAAAAAAAAAAAAAAAAAAAAAAAAAAAAAAAAAAAAAAAAAAAAAAAAAAAAAAAAAAAAAAAAAAAAAAAAAAAAAAAAAAAAAAAAAAAAAAAAAAAAAAAAAAAAAAAAAAAAAAAAAAAAAAAAAAAAAAAAAAAAAAAAAAAAAAAAAAAAAAAAAAAAAAAAAAAAAAAAAAAAAAAAAAAAAAAAAAAAAAAAAAAAAAAAAAAAAAAAAAAAAAAAAAAAAAAAAAAAAAAAAAAAAAAAAAAAAAAAAAAAAAAAAAAAAAAAAAAAAAAAAAAAAAAAAAAAAAAAAAAAAAAAAAAAAAAAAAAAAAAAAAAAAAAAAAAAAAAAAAAAAAAAAAAAAAAAAAAAAAAAAAAAAAAAAAAAAAAAAAAAAAAAAAAAAAAAAAAAAAAAAAAAAAAAAAAAAAAAAAAAAAAAAAAAAAAAAAAAAAAAAAAAAATTTTTTTTTTAGTGAATAAAATATTTACCAGCTATAAGCAATAGGCAAATATTCATGCCTAATTCACAGAAAACCAAAACGTTTAACATTGTGCAATAAAATACATTAATCCCGTTACCCCACACAGAACAATAACACAGTGTTTAAGAAAACAAACTTTTTTACTCACTTAATAATGATCGTTTTAGAGTGAACTATGAAGACTTCGAATAGATTAGACCCATGGACAAGAAAAAACAAGAATCCCTCTTTTCCTGCTGGAGAAGACAACCGACAGAAAACCAAAACGTTTAACATTGTGCAATAAAATACATTAATCCCGTTACCCCACACAGAACAATAACACAGTGTTTAAGAAAACAAACTTTTTTACTCACTTAATAATGATCGTATTAGAGTGAACTATGAAGACTTCGAATAGATTAGACCCATGGACAAGAAAAAACAAGAATCCCTCTTTTCCTGCTGGAGAAGACAACCGACAGACAACCAAAACGTTTAACATTGTGCAATAAAATACATTAATCCCGTTACCCCACACAGAACAATAACACAGTGTTTAAGAAAACAAACTTTTTTACTCACTTAATAATGATCGTTTTAGAGTGAGATTTCAGATTGAAAGGGATAACCAATAAAGGTTTAGTAGGGAATAAGGTGTTTTGATAATTGAAGTTCCTAATTTTTACCTTTTTTTTTTCAGTCTGGATGGCGACTTGCTCAGGGGTGATAGAGAACAACCAAGTACAAGCACGGAGATGCAAGAGTACAGACCTTTGGTACCGGAAAGCACACCATTGGAGACTCTCCCGGGGTTTGATGTTGAAAATGGACGCACTTGGATTTATCCTGTCAATTACCCAGTTCGATCATACCAGTTCGCTATTGTTGAAAAAGCACTGTACAATAATACCTTGGTCTGTCTTCCTACTGGTAAGATTTTCCGTTTGTGAAAGTTGTGGTAATCATTGCTGTGAAGTAAGATTTGTGTTTCTTGATGTATGTATTATATTATTATCAAATTTTGATCCTGTCATTGATTTTTCTCCTATATATAGGTTTGGGCAAGACCTTTATAGCTGCAGTCTTGATGTACAATTTTTATCGATGGTATCCAAGAAGCAAGATTATATTTATGGCCCCAACAAAACCTCTTGTGGCCCAGCAGGTAGAAGCTTGTTTTAATATTGTGGGTATGCCACAGGTAGATACTTCCCAAATGACAGGTATGTTGAAAAGATGGTAATTGTATTAGGATAAAGAATTGATATGATTTTGGTGTAAATGTTAAAAAATGGTAAATGAAAAACACACACACACACACACACACACACACACACACACACACACACACACACACACACACACACACACACACACACACACACACACACACATACACACATACACATCCATATATACAAATGAAATTTCTTTTTTCATTTATTTTCTTATATTTCCTCTGACCTGTTACCAATTTACGCCCTTACAGGTTCAATGGCACCAGCCTCGAGGATACAGGAATGGACGGATAAAAGAGTCTTCTTCCTGACGCCCCAAGTACTTACCAATGACCTATCTCGTGGTGCATGCCCTGCAGACCAAATAAAGTGCCTGGTGTTGGATGAGGCTCACCGTGCACTTGGAAATCATGCGTATTGCCAGGTGGGTAGTCTTGGGGATGGCACAGTATCTGCCCTGTGATATTTCATATGGTTTTGGCTTTGAAAGAGCAAGTCATGAAGTACCATTTTTCAGAATGCTGTAATATGGAAGAATATAATGTATGTTTTGGTGACTGTTGAAATTATTGATGTTGCGACAGATGTAATATTTAGAGTTGAAATTTGTAAAGAAAAGAAAAGAATTAATGAGATTAACAAGTTTAATAGAGAAATGTTTAACTTTTTTGATTCCATAAATATAAGAGAAGATAAAGTGTTCAGCTTTAGATCTTCAGTTTGTATAAATGCAAAGGAGTATGTGTTTAGAAGTAGATGCATTATTGTTAATTTGTGATTATATTCACATAAATTTAGCTTTCCCATTTGTATACTGCTTCCCAGCTAGGTACATGTGTATATCCACTCAATTTTTAATTCCTCATGTCAGGTCGTACGGGCATTAAGAGAACAAAGGTGTAATTTTCGTATATTAGCCTTATCTGCCACCCCAGGAACAGACGTCAGATCAGTACAACAGGTTGGTTTTAATGAAGAAAAGAACTTTTTGTTTGACATGTTTTAAATTGATATTTGAAATATTTGTTAGACATTTGCATACTAATGCAAGCACAACCTCATATCTCATGTTAGATGTATAATATTTGTTGAACTTTAATTTGAGTGAGTTTCTTTGCCATTTGAGAAATTACAATTAGAACTGACAGTCTCTGTTATATCATATGACTCACTTTGCAAATTTGAAATGAGAGCATGAATTATTTTCATCTGTATATACAATAAAGATATGACTTTATTGAAACAGGTCATTCAAAATCTCTTGATATCACACATTGAGCTCCGAAATGAAGAAAGCCCAGACATTGCAGCTTATAGCCACCAGCGGCATATAGAAAAAGTCGTTGTACCTTTAGGAGCAGAGCTGGCTAGTATTCAGTCAAGATACCAGAATGTAAGTAATTTGATTTTCTTTCTTTAAAAGGAATGAGTTTTGCAGTTTGTCTTATTGAGTAATCATGATACTTAGCCGCAGTGATGTAAATCATATATGAATATTTTTCTTATTTGTATCGGAAAATAGTCATTTAAAGGTTTAAATCAGGTAAAAATTTGCATCTTGCATAATCCCTCAGTATTTGACTAATATCCATCTTGTGTTCACTCTTTCAGGTATTAAGAGTGTATGTTAACAGATTAATAGACATGAGGGTGTTGTATACTCGTGACGAGACCACGCTTTCAAAATTCCAGGTAAGTTTTCCTGGTGGTATATTACTGATAGGTATATATCATCTGAATTCATTGATGATATTTTTGTGTTTGTCCATTTTATTAAGGATTTACTTGGAGGGTTATGTCAGTTGTATTACAATTCAATTGTTTGTTAATATTCTTGAATAGAATATTTAGATGTTGGTGTATGTGTCTTGTTTATTCACATACAATTACATATTTATATATACATATATACATATGCTTTTATACATCTACATTTGTGTTTCTTTTGATATATTCATAATGCACACACACACACACACACACACACACACACACACACACACACACACACACACACACACACACACACACACACACACACACACACACACACACACACACTCTCACTCTCACTCTCACTCTCACTCTCACTCTCACTCTCACTCTCTCTCTCACTCTCTCTCTCTCTCTCTCTCTCTCTCTTCTCTTTCTCTCTCTCTTTCTTTCTCTTTCTCTCTCTCTCTCCCTCCCTCCCTCCCTCCATCCATCCCCCCCTCCCCCCATTTTTTTTCCCTTCCTTTCCTCCCCGTTTTTTATCGTCATCACTTTTCATTGCCACTTCTTAAATTTTTTTTTGCGATTGAAATGTTAGATACTAAAGGCTCGTGAAGGCTTTCGTCAAAACCCACCAGACAACCTCCCTCGTGATCGTTATGGCGTTGCAGAGGGAATGTTTGCCTTGTGCATGACTCTGTATCATGCATATGAGCTTCTCCTCCAGCATGGCATCAGGTCTTTTTACAATTTCCTGAAAGGTGAATTGATACTATAGAAATTTTCCTTACATAATAGAAAGTCATGAATATTTGATTTTTTGCTTATTTACTTATATATTTATTTATTTATTTATCTGTTTATTTACCTTTTTCATTATTTGTCTGATTATTTATTCATTTTCTCATCTATTCTGTTATTTATTTATATATTGATAATTCAATTATTTTTTTATATTAAGTATATAGATAAAGTTAGTGGAGAAAGATACCTATTCTGTAAATTTGTTTGAACATGAACTTAGTTATAGATAATTTAGATATAGATCTAAATATATTTGATACATGTTTCCAGGAACTCTTGGAGGGGACAAGGGACATAGCATGGCAAGAGGGGAACTGCAGCGTAACAGTGTCTTTAAGCGTCTGATGGAGGACCTCGGTGACAAATATGACTCAGGAAAACAGCAAAATTCAACCATGAATAATAGTTCAGGAATGTTTGGACAGGTAAGGCATAAGGTAGATTGTTTTATGTAGTTGCTTTGTTTGTTTATGATGTTCAAGGTATGTCTTTTTAGCTCTTCTCATTGACGCTTTTAATTCTTAGGGTCAGCCAGGTGTGAGTCGTTTTCTTGTCTATACTTTCTCCCTTTTTATTGCCTTATTTTTTATTTGACAATATTCAGTTTAGTATATGAAAGACACACGGGCACTGAGTAATTTTGACAGTGTCACCTGCCAGGAAGATATCTTTCTGATGTTTCAGGTCATATAGCTTAGTACAGTGGTTCCCAAACTGGGGGCCATGGCCCCCTGGGGGGCCATATAGCAGAATGTAGGGGGCCATAATCTGAGGCTATGTAGAGATAAAATCAAAGGAGTTTAGCGGGTAAGCAGCCAGTGGAGGGAACTTACAGGTTCAGTACAGGTTTGTGCAATGCCTTGCTGCCAGACACATGAGTAATACACAATAATGCAGTTTTTAATTACTCTAAGTATGGAGATTGTTTTATGTGCATTATATTACTTCTTCAGTACCATTTCAATAATTATATGAGATTTAGCAAAGGAAAAATACAAATTTCTTTTTTAATACTTAACAAAAGAAAAAATAGCAAATGGAATCAATAAAATTACAGGATTTGCTAGAGTGGTTTTTATATGGACCTAATGAGTGTAGGACTGTAGACAGTCACTGTAGTCACGGGTTATGGTTGGGGGTGGGGGCCATGGACAAGGATCATGTATGAAAAGTGGGTAACGACCAGAAAAAGTTTGGGAACCACTGGCTTAGTACAATACAATAAAGGCATATCTGATTTTAATCCTTTGCTTTGGTCCATAGTATGCTTTATTCTTTTCTGATCTATAAGTAACAAAGATATGTTCATTATTGGGTTTCAGGTATATTTTAGATTAAATGTGAAACTCCCATTGGTTGATGCACTCCAGAGTGATAGGCTGAAACTAATCCTAATTTAAAAAGTTGATATGCAAGTTGAAGCCTAAGAAGAATAGCATGATATATATTATTGAAGCCTTTCATGTATTTACATAAAATCTATGATACTGTGTACAAATGTCTGTTTATTAACTTGGATGTTTTCCTACTTTCTTTTTATGTAATTTGATATTTGTTAATATATTTATTTTACCCATTTCTGTTCTTAGATAAGATATTCTCTTTATTGCCTTATTAATCAGCATTTTTGGTTTGTAGATTGGCAGCCCACAGTTGTTAAAAGCAAAGTCAACTACGCCATATGTTGTTAGTCATCCCAAAATGGAAGAACTTCGCAAAATTGTCATAAAGCACCACCAGAAGTTTCTCGATGAAGGGAAATCTACACGAGTGATGATATTCTCCCAGGTATATAAAAATGTCCAGAATATATGTATATAGCCATAAGCGATGTGACACTTTCTTATTAAACTTCAGCCCTTTGGCATCAAAATCCAATTCTGTTAAGATATTCAAATATGTAGTTCATTTTCGTCATAGGGTATGTGAATTAACCTTCCTGCTTTAATCTCTTAATAGTACAGAGACAGTGTACTGGAGATTACAGAGATGTTACAGCACCATTACCCTCTTGTTAAGGCCATGAGTTTTGTTGGCCAGTCAACAGTAGCTCACGGAGGAAGGGGATTCACTCAAAAGGAACAGTTGAAGGTAACGCATGGTTGGTTATGACTCTGTATTGATGTAATTTTTAGGCATTGGTGGAAATAGACATAGATGTGTTGTGGTTATGTGTTTGTCCAGATTAAAAATGGAGACCGACTGAATAGTTCTTACAGATGATTTAATTTTCAGGTTGTGAAAGAGTTCAAAGAAGGAGGGTTTAACACTTTAACTTCAACGTGTGTAGGAGAAGAAGGCAAGTATCTTCAAGATTTTATAAAATGATTTTGCTTTTAAGGGAACCTGTGAGAATGAATAATTTCTCAAAGCAAGAAAGGTAAAAGGTGCTTCTTGATTCATACCTTCCTCAAACTTTTTAGTTAGCTAAATTGTTCGAATGGAAATATATATCAATAGGACCAAAACAACACAATAAAAGATTATACATGGGTTGCTGACCTGGCATGACCTGTCAACCCATGTAGCATCTCATGCTGGATGCTGAACAAATCATACACTCATATACTCAAGCTCAAATACAGTGGAATGTTCAAGTCTCTCTTATTTCATTCTCGTGTATGCTTGTGTTTGTTGGTCTTGCGACAATTGGTTGTGTACTCATTCACTGTACAGTTATTCATTCTCATTTCTACCTTTGGTAAATTAGTAACGATGAACATAATATGAAAGGAAAATGGGAATTCTATCAAAATAAATATCCATCAACTGGGAAGAACCAGTTTTATTTTTGAAAGAACACGGATGAATGCCACAAAATGAACAGGACTTTTTCTATGGAGATCATTAAATGGAGTAAAACATTTGCAGGCTTGGACATTGGCGAAGTTGATCTCATCATTTGCTACGATGCGCCCAAGTCCCCGATCCGTCTGGTGCAGAGGATTGGTCGTACAGGCAGGAAACGCGAGGGCCGTATCATCATCCTAGTAACAAAGGGGAAAGAGGAACAGGTGAGCTAATGGTGGTCGGTAATTATTTGTTATGGAACTTTATTTTATATTGCAATAACATTTTAATTCACTAGGAAAATTCCTTGTCTTTTTTTTACGGTTCATTTCTAAAATTTGTATCAAGTAATTTAATCTAATGTGTATTTGCTGAATGTATTTATTCCTCTCTGGCATTACAGATGTATAACCAGAGTCAGTTACAGAAGAAATACATCAATATAGCTCTATCAGATGGAGAAAAACTGAAAAGGTTTCTCTTTCCTTCAAATGATCGCATGGTGCCAAGAGGTAGGTTGGGAAATAGCGTGACATTACTTTATCCCAGTTCTCAATTTTCATTACTTTTTTATTTGAAGAACTGATTTGAAAAAGAGAAATAACCCTATTTAAATATTTAATTGCAAGGCAAAACTCCCTAATTGTTTATTTATTTGCAAGTTATAACACAGTTTATCCATTTGCAAATTATAACACATTGTTTATTTATGCACATAGATAAAATAACATATATATTCATTCACCTTATTTATTTGTTTTGGAGGCAACATACTTTATTTATTCATTCATTTGCAAGGTATAATGCCTGTATGCCACAAGCTCCACATGAAGATAGGCACATGGAAAACCAAGACAGGCAAGGAACGCAAATCTGACATAGGCTCAAAGTCCCTCTCAGGCTCACTCCTAGAAAACACTAATATGCCAAAGAAGGTAAGTTTTCCTCAAAGGGATACGAGTAGAAATATATCTGGTAGGAACTGTACGTTTATTTGGGCGATTATGTTTTGTTTATATGATTTGGAAACGTAAGCTGATTTGATGTTCATTTGGCAGTTAGCATAGGCATAGAAAACATTACTGAATGCTATCTGGATTATATCAATATCATGTTACAGAAACAACAAGGTAAAGTTGGTATGCTAAGTCGGGAGGAATGGCAGTGGTTAAGAGACAATTTGTGGGTTCCGCCGGAAGAGGTCAAGACTATAGCAAAGCCAGTATTCATGAGCTTGAAGAAAGAGGGTGAGTGTTCCCAAAGTGCAGGTGATGTTAGAGTTACTAATATTTTTTTTAGTTGCTGTGTGTGCTGGAATATATGTGGTTATATGTAGCATTACACTGAATATATATATATATGCATGTAATTTGTTATTTGAATCAAAATGTTGTTCTTAAATTATAATTACAGACAATAAGTCGACCAGAGTACAGTGCACTGAACGCTCTTGAGAATTAATCTGAAATGACAATTAATACTAGTGGCTATACTTACAGAACAAGAAGTGAAGGAGGAAATGTCCACAGTAAACTTTGGGAACTACCAACCCTGGCAAACCATGCTGCAGAAGACACATGTGGTTGGACACTCGGTGCAGTCACAGAATCTGGTTCAGCTCACGGAATTCATCGACCTGCAGATCCTTCTTGACCCAGATGAAGACCCCTATAGCCTTGAGATGCAGGCCTTTCTGGATATGAGCTACATAGAAGGTTTGTGGTTTTGTGTATTTCCTCATTGTTTGGTTTGGATGCCTGCAGGTCATGTAAATCCCCCAAAGAATTAACTAAAAGTTTCAGAACAGTAAATTCATATGAAAATTATACACAGCTTATTGTTATGTTTTATTATGACTGTCTGGAGATCTTTTTTTTTAGTTATTTTCATCATTACTTTAGAAAAGCTTCACTGTATGCCTTCCTAAAAGGTTATGATATTATGAGGAAATCTTGTTAGCTGTTGATATAGTTTTGAAAAATTGTTTGATATTTCAGTTTTCATTTGGCTTTTTTTTTTTATCCTTCAGTCATTGATGAAGTAAGCAAATTTGAGAAAAAATTTTGAATCACCTGAAAAGAATTTTGATAAGAAATGTATACAGTGTTCGCTCTTTGAACAGATAAAGAGACACGGACAACAAAGGCAACGACATCAAAGGACGAGCTACCAAAGAAGAAATCGAAAATAACAAAAGGAGAGAAGAAAAAAAACGTGAAAGCCAAGCAAACGAACCTCATTACAGACATGTTCAACAGCCAGAAAGCGAGGAAGAATGCGGAGGAATTGAAGTCCCAAAAGCACCAAGATCTCGAGGACTTTGACATCTTGTCCGAGAAGCCAAAGGGAAAGGAATACGATAGTGACATAGAGATTATAGAGGATGGTGTTATGGATGTTGATGAGGATCAGGCCGAAGGGGGTGATTTGATAACCTCCTCGTTTAGTAGAAGTAAAGAAAATAACTCCCGAAGTAAAGAGCCAAACAATTCGTCAGTGAACTGTGAAGAGGATATGGAGGTAGAAAAAAAGGACTCAAGGGATATTACACCTGCTTTGGATAGTCTATCTAAGCAGGTCATGTCAGTGTTGTCCGTCAGATCTCTGTCTCCGCTCCGCGTTCTAACACCTCCACATTCTATCCCAAGTGACGAGGAAATCGACTGAACCCTTAAGTCCTACAGATGTCATATCGGTAGTCGATGAGTGGATGGAAAGCAGAAGGATAAAGGGATGTCTGCAGTCTGATATCTTGGAGATTGAAGATGTGGATAGTATCAGAAGATGTAAATCTTCTAATAGCACAGACACAGGAAATGCAAAAGGCCATAGTCATACCAGACTCAGATGAAGGGAATGCTTACAGTCCAATTCCCAGTTGCTCAAAGATGCCTGATAATCAGCAGGATGTTCATACCAAAGATGGGATTATAGAGGAAAATACAGATACTACACCAGAAAAGGCTGGTGAAAGTGTAGCAGATGAAGTGTCACCAATTTTACCTTCAAGTTATAGGAAACTTATTAGACCCAATTTGAATCTTTATTCATCGACACCAAAACTAAATGCAAAACGTCTGTTCAAGGTCACAACTCCAAACCTAACTAGAATAGAACAAGAATGTTCATTGTCTAGTGAAGCTGAGAATACAGAACCATTACTAGGACAGAAAAGTACAACCAAAAGTATTTTGCAGAATAAAAAATCTGATGATACTATTAATCCAATAGCCTCGGTTGTTACAGAACCTACAGTATTACTTAGTCAGAGAAGCAAAGTACGCTGCAAACTCAGTAAATTCTCTGCACTAGATAAGCCAGACAGTAAAAATGTATCAACGGACAGTAACCAAGAGCCGGTTTTCTTTTATCAGGATGGGTCCAGTTCTGACAAAAGTGTGAAAAGCATTTACTCAAGATCCATAGAGGACTCTGAAATTCCACAAACATCCCACCAAGATAGAAGAATCGAAATTGATGAAAGTGTCAAAATAATTGAACAATTCAAAGGCAGTGATAGTGTCAAAGTTGATGCAAACCTTAAGAAAAGCAATAGCAGTAAATGTAATGAGAGTTTTCCAGCAAATTGTGAAGACAGATTAGTTTCTAAAAGTAGTCAGAATGTAAACAGTGACATGGAAGACATATCTGAAAAGCACAAAAAATATAATATTACAGAGGAAACCAAAGATGCCTGTTCCTCTGCAGTAAAAGATGTGTGTAGTGTTAACTTTGACCTTAGTTTTGAAGATGACTTGTTTGCTGACTTTGATATGAATGAAGTGAATGAAGGCCCCAAAGAAGAGAAATTTGAATGTACCACTCCTAACGATCCTTCAGTACCAAAGCAGACAAAGCAGTCCTTTGAACAGAAGGACATAAAACCTTTTGAGAGATCAAAGCAAAATCTTCTAAGTGTCACACAAATCATTGACCTTGTTGATGAGTCAGATGAAGAAAGTGATTTTGCCTCTAGTAAGAGTATATCTGAACTGGAAAATGATGGTGCTTCTAGGCAAGAAAGGCTCAGTTATAGGTTCTTAGGCAGGAATGGGATAAGCAGTTCACGAGGAAGCAGGAGACTTTCTTGTTCCAAGTCTGAACCTTTGCTGCAAGAAAAAGATGCTAATGATATATTAAATAAGCCCAGCTTTACTTTATGTGATGACATTCTACTTGATAGGAATGAAAACTGTGAAAAACTGCCATCACTGAGTAAGACTTCAAGTCAGAGTGGAAGGAATACTTCGTTCTTGACCGAAACAAGAAAAGCATCACCTATACATCCCATAATTAAAGAAAATTTATCATCAGAGAACCCGGATGCCAGGCCCACAGTAGTAGAGCCCAACTTTTCTTTGCTTGACGATGTTGATTTTGATGACAATGATTGGTCAGTAGTAGAAGAAGCAGAGGAAAAGTCTAAGAGTTTGGATAACTGGGACTTGCCGGGGGGGAGCGGAGATTTTGAACCCATGTCCGAGTCGCTGCTGGCCGATATTGAGCTGAATAAGAAGATGGCCAAGGAAGAGAAAAAGAAGAAAAAGGAAGTGAGTTTCTCTCTCCACACTGATGATAACTCTAAGAACTCTCCAGTTGTAATTGTGTCAGATGACAAATCGCCCGTTTCCAAAAAGAGAGAATCGGCCAAGCTCAACACAAGTCTACTGGCGGGAACTCAGGAGGCAACGCAGGTGTGGCGAAGACAAAAGAGAAGACTCGGTCAGGTTGTGGATTCGGACAGTGAGGACGACCTGACGAACGGCGGAAATTCAGAAGGAGAAAGTCCCCGAGTAAGAAAGGCGATGACTAGCTTGAGCTCAGCCAGTACAGATTCAGAACGAAAGAGCTGGAAGGGTAAAAGTCTTAAAAACAACAATCGAGACTCTACGGTTTCTATAGAGGATGACGATTTTGAAGGTGAAGTGTCAGTTCTACGCCCAGGGCCTAAGTACATTAATCAGGCTGAAAAGAAAACAAAAAGACGTGATAAGCTGGTAAGTCCTGCAAAGATCTCTTCTTTTTTTATTATATCATTATTAACAACAGTTTTATTTACATACCAGAATTTAGTGAGTATTCTTTAGCATAGAGAAAAAAGTTAAGTTCTTTGACTTTGCACATTATAGAGATATGTATTTATTGTTTTTATTTTTTTGTTTTCTTTTGTGAGATAAAGATTATTTTGATATGATTTATGTTCTTAGATTTTTTAGTACAAATAAACTACCCTTTGAATTTTAGAGATGTAAATATTGCTTTCAGTTCTGACTTTGCTAGTTGATGAAACATTTAACTGTTTAGCTATGTTGTATTTCTGAATAGATCCGTGGATCCGAGGTCATAGCTATGATTAATTACAGATGGTGCAAGTACCAATTATTATTATTTTTTTTCTATTCTTTCTTCCTTTCTTTTTCTTATTTTAGATGATTGTAATACAAAATGTAAAATCTTTGATGTTTAATTTCTTTTTTGGGTCTGTTGCTATTTCAGAAAAACAACTTTATTCATAATGAAGCAGAATTATCTGAAGATGGAGAAGGGGTGTCCAGTGATGAGTCAGAGGGAGAGCATCTCGACAGATATGACGAGAGTTTTGTCGATGATTGCACACAGCTCTCCCAAGATGCAGCAGTAGAGTATGTTCTATTCCAATTTTTCACTGGATGTCCCCTTAGCCTTTACATCTGATTGAAGTCATCCGTTCAATTATTTTATGGGCTGTATTCTTTAAGGAAATTTCGTTCTCTGAGTTACACCCCATATTTGTGATAGTTGTTAGCATGTAGCAATTTTGTGGTTTACTTTTCTTTCTTTTGGTCAACCTTTTTGTGGAAGGAGTCTGTCAGTAATTTGAGGAGATGGATAAGCATTTGATGTATCACCCAAAATTCATAGAAACAGTGCCACCTTTGAATTATGTTTACATAGGCTACATGCACATGATATAAGGGAGTAATTACCATAACTATTACTTTTCATGGCAAAGAAACGATAATATTATTTGATAGAGCTGTCTTTTTATTTACATTTTCATGAACCGAATTCATGTTGACAAATGTAGAAAAGGTATGAATGAGAATGAATATATTCACAATACAATCTCTTGTATTGTGAAAATATCCATTCTCATTCATACCTTTTCTACATACATTTTCATGTCGTCTAAGGTAGTTTTTATTAAAGCTTTCCATCCTTATCACTTGCAGCATGAGGGCTGTCTACCTGCAGTCGGTTGTCAGTCCAAAATTAGCTAATCGCGTGAATCACCGTTCACATCGTGCTCCTGTTGTTCTCTCTGACACAGATGAACAGAGTGAAGATTCTGAAGAGGTGAGTATATATATTTGTTCCTGTAAGTCAAGTTCTTTCTTTTGCAAAGTAAATGTCAAATAGCGAGGTGTAAGTTTTGTCATATGTATGAATGTATGTATGTTTGTTTGTTTGATTTGAGAAAAAATAAAACATTTTATATGGCTCTTTGGGATAGAAAGGAATGTATAATAATGACGACTTAGAGCCATAATCCCTCTAACATGTCTCACTTCCACGTATGGTTGATTTTTCAAGATTTACCAAGACCAGTTTTGGCTTTCGATTTTTACCCACCAAAGATGTATCTTTCATTATCATAATCAAGTATTGGTGCATGCTGCAGAATCATGGATGTTAATGCGAAAAGAAAAATTAGCTACAGTTACCTTTCATGAATGACTGGACATGGGAATAAATGACCAAAATGATGCCAGTAAAAATGGATGTAGGACATGAAAAACACATTTGTTCATATACAGAAGCAAAGTATGCATTCATACATATTTATAAGTTTAAGTGATTATGGACGCCTACAAGATACCAAGAGGTACGTAATAATGCTGTTTTGAAGGGGGAAAGGGCTAATGGGGAGGGGGGGGGATGGCTGGAAGAAATATGCCATGCCAAGGAGACATGCCAAACAGTACGAGATTTATTAGTAAGCACTACAAATGGCACATTCACAGCAAGGAAAGAAAGACTGTCCACCAGTTTTTGACAGTCCGTGGTCAGTCTCCGTAAATGGCGCTCTACGCAAGACTTTTGGGGTAAGGATAGAAAAATGTAAATTCAAAAGTACAATGATTTATTTGTTTCTTTATTTGTTTTTAATATGTAGACCCTTATTTGTTTTCAGGAGGAAGAAGACAGCTTTGTGGTGGATAACAACTTTGTGGAGTATGACACGGAGTACATGGGAGACACTATGCTAGCTGAAGATTCAATTATGATTAAGGTGTTTTATGTTTGTCCGTTTTCTTTCTATCTCTCTTAATTTATTTTTCACTTTAAGGAACATTTGTAATAATTTAAAGAAGTAACAGTGTTTTTTCCCTTTCTCTTTTTTTTTTTTTTTTTTTTTTTTTTTTTTTTTTGTTTGTTTTGTTTGTTTTTGTTTAAGATAGATTAACCCATAGGATCCAGTTGCTTCATGGCAATTACATGGTCCAAGATATTAAGCTTACATGAGCGGCTCTTCTGACGGGTGTGTGGCTTGGAGGCCAGGTACACGCAAATGCTTGTGTGCAGTGACAAGACTCTGTGCCTCCCCTTTGCAATGTTATTTTCTCCTTTTATGCATAAATGTTTTTATTATATATTTTTTTGTAATATTCTATTTTCTGTTATACAATCAGTGCTGATGGTCATGGCAACCAGGACTAGAATGCTGAGTATGGAAAGGCATCCTTCCTGGTGCTAGCGCTCTTCATGACTCACAGAGAAAACATTCCGCTTTCATTTATTGATAGAAATAATGCAAAAGACCCTTTCTAAAAGCCAAATGAGTCTAATTATCCACTTTTGGCTAGTCTTTTCTGTTCTTTCGTGATGTGATTGTCATGTCAACTGGATCGTTGAGGTTAAAGAATATTTTTGTCTTTTTAGTGGTTATCGAAACATTTTCAAAAGGAAGCCAGGATATGTTTTACTCTAGATAATGCTATTTCATACAACCATAATCACTTCTAACTCTTGTTTCTAGGCAATGCATGATCATGCAAATGCTAAGAAGAGGCAGAAAGAGGCAGGCAAAGGGAAGAACAAAAGAAAGAGAATAATTTTGAACAATTCATCAAGTGATGAAGACAGCACAGCACAGCACAAGAAAATGAAAAACATCGACGGTTGCACATTTAATGCCAAGAAGAACAATATGAACAATAGTTTCTCAAGAAAAGGAACTGATTGCTCTGGAAATTTATCTGAACCAAATAAGGGAAACTTCAAGGCAGTGGGAATAGGAAATCACAATAAACTGAAATCAGGGAAAGGAAACTCAAAATTAGGTAGAGGTTTAGCATCAAATATTGAAGATGCACCAGCAGAGAGGACCAAGATTGCATCCTCTTTTAAGCCAAGCAGAGAAAGCATAATGCAAGATTCCTCTTCTGCCGATGATGACTTCAAGCAAATAAGTCGAGTGCAAGTACCTCTCAAGGACCGAGTCTTGGGGAAAATAAAACAGGCGGAAAGTGCCAACAAACAGACAAAGGGCACGCAGAGAGTCAAGGATAACAGTGCCAATAAAATGGAAGACTCTGTAGGTGCATCATTTAACTTGGGCTCTGAGGGATTTGATTTTGAATTAGAAGAAGAGATGTTAGCAAAACAAGAGACTAAAGGATTCAGAGTGTCAGTAACACCCAGCAAAATTTCACCTTCGTCATCATCAATTCAAATCGACTCATATAACTTGGCCAGAATATGTGGCTTCTCCTCTCCAAGGGAAAGGCCCTTGGCATCTCGAAGTCTTTTGAAAAACTCGGAAGAAGCAAACGTATCTGACGTGACAAAAACTTGGGTGAGTACAGCTGATGAACTGAAATTTTGTTGTTATGGTCTTTTTATATATTATTTCTCCTCCACCCCCATGTAATGAAACATATTAATAGGGTATGCTCTTTGATAGTTTATGGTGACTTTGATAACAGTTTTCTTATTCCATATTTCTTATACTGCTTAAATATTCGAACAAATCTGAATCAGTTACTCATATCTTCACATAATAAACAACTGGGTAATAGCTAACTTAGTAAGATTCATATAGAAGCATTAGGCTGAATTCTTTTATTATTGACATATAAGTCAAATATATCAAATCGTCATCACATACTCAACAGGGACAGGGAAGCTCATCAACCACAGCCAGAGGGCAAGGGTCTTCCTCTTCATCGGCATCTGGAAGTCAGTCGAAGAACTCAGAAGCCAAAGCCAAAGAAGAAAACAGGTCTATTGGAACAAAAGCTTCAGCGAGTGTAAGCAGCAGAATGATTTTTATTTTTTTTATATATGATTTCTTAGGATCTGTATTCATAGTAGTAATAGTGTAAGTTTTAAATTTGATCTTATTCAAATCTTTTGAATGTCATATTTCTGGCACCCCATGGTAAAAAAAAAAAGAATAATAATAACATAAATAAATAAGTAAATAAATAAATCTCAACACTGTTATTCACAAGTTGAACAAATTAATGTAATGCTTTTGAAATTATTTCATTTTCTTCTTTTTATTCTTTGTTTTTCCTCATCAGGTACCACCCCTCCTTCTGGTGGACTCTCAGGAAATTAGTATTGCAGGTGGCATTGCATCCAAACTAAGACTGCATAAGGATGTTAATATATCAGTGGTCCAGCTAGCACACGCTCAGTATGTTACATCAACGAGAATGGGAGTCACCAGATTGTTGTATTCGAGTAAGGATTCCTTTCTCTGTTTATTTTATTTTTATCATTCAGTATGTATCCAGAGATGCTTGGAATATAACTTTAGGAAGAGAGGATGGATCATTCAGTTTTTATATGTCATGGTTAGGTATGCAAAGCTTGCGTAAGGAGATTTGGGACTTGATCATTATCCGGCAATCAGGATCCACTCCTGCATACGCACAAATATGCTTCTGTCTGGAGTTCATTCAGTATTTTATTTCATTATTATTATTATTTCACAGAAACAAACCTCACTGCAAATTTCAATCTAATTATAATGCTGTTCCTGCCTCGGCAAGAAAGTTTCCATGTGTAATGTAAATATAGTTGTATTTTCCAGCTTGCTGTCTTTCTCAAAAAGAATGTACCTAGATGATATCTTGCAGCTGTATTTAAATTATATACTTTTTGTGAATTCTCTTTCTGTGTACATTTCCATACAGCATTTCCCCCCTATTCTTCTTTCAGCTTTTACCAGCATTCAGCAGAGAGGGAAGTTAATACAGAGGGTGCAAGGCATGTTAAACATCTATGAACGTTCGGTGCTCATTATAGAATCAGACCGTTTAAAGCCTGGGGAATCTCCTCACAATGCACACAGCACTCGCTCGAAATACGTGGACACCATAACATGTGCTTGTACTCATGTCGAGCGCTTCAAAGTCTTATATTCCAGAAATCAAGGTGAGTTATTATATAATGTGACTATTATAATATATTATTGGTGTACTTATTCAATTTTTAGTTAATGAGGGAGGCTGATGTCTACTTTCATTTCCATGATGAGAAAAAACTTCTTTCATGTACTGACACTGCCAAGTGTCAGTACATGAAAGAAGACTAACGTAAGATATTTCTTTTAAAATGATTAAAGAGGCAAATTCACTTACACTTCATCCAGTCTCAAGAAAGGAAAAACGGGCATTACGCCTCAGAATATTTCCATTCACCAAGTTTGTTTTGAGAAAAAATGAGTTAGTGTTGGAGGCACCAAATTTCAATAATGATAATATTAATTGTAAAATCAATAAATAAGTTCATTCATTCATTCATTCATTCATTCTTTCATAAACATAAGCATATATATATATATATATATATATATATATATATATATATATATATATATATATATATATATATATATATATATATATATACATATATATACATACAGATAGTCCCCTACTTAAGAACATTCTACTTATGAACATTCCATACGTACAAACAAAATTTTTTAGGTATTAAAGTCCAAAAAGTTGTTTGAAAAATGCTACCAAACTTCAAATTTCCCAGGCATAAATATAGTTCAAGAGTCTGTTACTGTATAAGGTATGTCGTACTTATTGGGATTTATTTACAGGTATTCTTAATTTAAACAAAACTTTAAAACAATGGGAAAAAAGGTAATGGAGACCCAACTTTCGACATACAAACAAATCAACTTACAAAAAGCTTCTCGGTCCCCATTATGTTCTTAAGTTAGGGACTTTTATATATATATATATATATATATATATATATATATATATATATATATATATATATATATATATATATATATATATATGTATATATATATATATATATATATATATATATATAAAGTATATATTGTTTTTTCAGAGGACACTTCCAAAATAGTGTGGCAGCTTGTAGAACAAGAGAGAGAAAAGGGTTTTAGTATTTTTGTGATCCCAACTTTCTTAATTCAGCATCAGAAGGTATATATATATACTTGGTGTTTTTTGTGTTTTCTTGCATATGTTTATCAGAGAAGTGACTCAACATTCAGAACTGTAAAAATGTGTTTAAATGTAATATAGTTATTTGTTAGTAACATAGAGAGTCATATTGTATTTGTTGAATGCTTTTGAGGGAAAAATTACTTCATTTATTACAGACTTCATAATAGCAATATATTTATGCTCTTTTACAGATTCTGAATTTTTTCAAATCCTTGCCTCGCATCAGCTATGCATCAGCCATCTATTTGGCATACAACTTCAAAACTATTGTTGACTTTATTAACAGGTAAGATGTCTATTATTAATGTGATATTATTTGATGTTAGAATAATGAGTATAACTAGTAAAGTTGTTAAAAAATGCCTCATTGCTCTTTCTGTATCAGAGTTTATAAGCGTGTCTACACAGTGCTTAAGAGACAATGTTTTAGTACTTAAAAATGTTATTGGACACTTTTGATGCTTCAATGTATGATATGCAATTGAAGTTTTGGATACTATATGATGTCCATTGAGATTGCACAATTAGAATGATATTCGGAATTGAAAGTGATTGCTGTAAGTGGGACACAGTAATCATAATTAAATGTTTATATGATTATATATACATGTTGTATGGTCTTTGTTTTCATTGGAAAGAATAGAATGGTTCAACAGCATAATTATACATATGAAAGAGACTGTTTAAGTCTGTACTATGTGACAACTGTTAACAATTCTTGTTAATTTTACCTGAGATTTCCATAATCATTTGACATCTTATTGCTACAGAAATTAAGCCATTAATTTTTTTGTCTTTTTTTTTCACAGTTCTGTTGCAACTATCCAGGAGAAAGGGTGCATGACGTATGAAAAGGCCACAGAGATAAAGCAATACCTTTATCGCAAGTTTAGGCCGGACATGCTTCCTCCATCCTGATGCATCTGTATAGTCGATAATGTTGAACTGCATAACTTTTTTTATTTTACTCTATTTAATGACTTTTAGGTGGTTGATTATATGTTTTAAATGCAGCTGGGGTATGATCGTTGCATGTTATTTTTGTACTTGTAATTATGTATGTGCCTATTTTTTTTGGCATATTCAACAACAAGAATAAATAAATGCCACAAAAGCTGTGAGAACAATATATATATGTATGCTTTATTGTTATTTTCTAGTAGGCAGTAGTCTAATATTT